AAGCCGGTGGACATGGCCACTAAGAGAACACGGTTCCCATCTTCCTCCATCGACAGGAGAAGCAGCAGGTGCTAGTCGATGTCGACTCTCGGCATACCCCCCACACGGTGGGACAGGGGGTATAAATGACCACCCACTCAGAGGTTCCTGGACATTCTTATGTAGGGCGGCTATTGAAAACTAAAAGCAAAGGGGGAAAAACCAAGTAGGCTAAATCCTACTTGAGGTTTAGTACAGCCAAGGACTTTTTTTCCCCTCCCCAAAACAGGATTTCTGTGTAGCCCTGGCTGTCCTTCAACTTGCTATGGTAGAGTAGGCTGGTTTTGAACTCAGAGATTCACGTACCTCTGCTTCCTGAGTGCTGGGATTAAAGGCGTGAGCCACCAAATTTCATTTTTAAGGAACAATAAAGGGCTTAATGCCTGTTCGACGCTTTCCTAATCTCCTCTTCTACAAGCCTTAGCCTTGATTAGGAGCTGGTTTACAGGGTTTGGCAATGGCACTTGGTGATAGAGCGTTTGCCTAATATGTGAGAGGCCGAGGGTGTGATATCGACCGCTGCAAAACAATTAGACCGATCCTTTTCTTCTAACACCATATCATAGTAACTTGTATGATCCAGTGGTAAATTATTCAACTCAAAGTGGAAGTCTTACCACAAATTGAGTAATTTGGAGGCAAAAATATGACTTTTCTTTTGCTCTGTCCTGTACAATGGGAACAACCCTCTGGCCCCTGGTTGCTAGGGTGGACTAGTGATGCCCAGTTGTTTGAGAATTGGTGGTGGTATGTGTGGGAGGGTAGGTACCAGGGCTGAACCCAAAGCCTCCTGCATTTGAAGCTAAGTGCTGTAACCCAGGCAAGGACTATAAAAGTTATGAGACATTATTTTTTATTACTGTATTATTATTTTGGTGCTGGGGTTAATAGTAAGCCCAGGGCTTCATGCATATGAAACACTCATGCTTCACCACTGGCTCAGACCTCAGGCCCTAATTTTATTTCATTTATTTAAATTAACTTTTTTTTTAAATAAGGGCTCACATTGTAGCTCAGGATGGCCCCAAACTTACAGCAATTCTTCTGTGTTGGTTTCCCAAACACTGGGATTGCAAGTATGAGCCACAACATCTGATCTTATTTTTTTCCTTTTATTTTATTTTACAATACCATTCAGTTCTATATATCGGCCACGGGTTCCCCTGTTCTCCCCCCTCCCACACCCTCCCCTTACCCCCAGCCCAACCCCATTCCTATCTCCTCCAGGGCAAAGCCTCCCCCGAGGACTGCGCTGATCTTATTTTTATTTAAAAACGAGAATAAAGCCATCACAAACTTCCATGGAAAGATTCTGTTCATTTCTATGACTTCAATAACTTTTATTGGTGTTATTAACTATATTAGTTCTTTAACTTCCTAGCTATTTTTACTTATCTGACAACATTCTTCTTTCTGACTAATGACACATTCTTCCTTCTGACTAAATAAAGCAGAAGCTACAAGAATTAAGTTCTTTTCAGGTGATATCACAAAGATAACATTTTTTTTTTTAAGTGTGAGTTGATATTTTCTAAGATTACCATTCTTGAGGGTAATATGTTTGATTTTGAGGGCTCGAGATGGAGATGTCCACCTGGTGGAAGTGAGGCGCTAGGCTCAGTCTCCATCCTGGTGGAGGGGGATGGGGGAGAAGAGAGAGACACGGGCAGGAAGGTCAAAGAGGTAAAGTTCAGTGGCCGAGGTGGCAGGCAAAGGAAGCCATAATAAACCACACTCACTGCTGTGGCACCCTGGGAAGAGGAACAGTCAGGCCAGTAGAAGACAGTCCCTGGTCACTCTGGGCTGCTTTGATCATAAAAGCCTCCTTGAGTGAGATTCAGGAAAGAGGAGACAAGAGAGTGGCTACTTCCAAAGGCAATTTTGTTGAACACTTTTCTCTTTCTAGGCATCCTCTATGTGCGGGGGAAGCTGACCCAACCCTATGATTCATAGGGCTCAGGAAGTCCTGTCTTACGTGTGCCTGGTTTTAATGTAACCACCTTAAGCCACATCATTTCACATGACTGGTGTAATAACCGAAGGGAGAGCATCTTTCCCCCGATGAGTTGGTTTCATCGGAGACGCTAAATGACATAGTTTTATTGGATGTCAGAGGTGAATAGGATTTTGGCGTCAGTCTTACGCCTTCTTTTATAAATGGAGAACGGAAGGTACAGAAAGATGGTTCAAAGGGGAACGGCGCTTGCTGCCAAGGCTGCCGACCTAAGTTAGATTCCTCAGGACCCACATGGTGGCAAGAGGAACCCAAATGTGGAAAGTCGTCCTCTGACTTCCCAGGCCCACTGCCCCCAACAAAACATTATTAAAAGCAAAAAACAAAACAGAAAACTGGGGCAGAGTAAAATGGAACTGTTGAGGATCCCTCAGACAACAAGATGTCAAAGTGCGGACCACGTTCTCTATGGTTTCTGTTTAAGATGTTCTTGGGAGCTATAATTGATTCTAAGTTGCAACAGCCTTCTACAAAGGAGAGGCCCAAGCTTGCCTTCACAAAATTCAAGCTGCAGGACTGGAGAGTTGGCTCAAGAGCCGAGAGCACTTACTGCTAAGCTGAGGACCAGACTTTCTCCTCAGCACCCAAGTCCTGAAGCTCACAACAGCCTGTAATTCCAGCTCAGGGAGATCGGATGCCTCTGGACTCCTCAGGCACCTATACTCATACACGCATACATAATTAACGAATACACATAATTAAAGGTAACAAAGAAGTCTTTACAAAATTCAAAGTTGCTCTTTAAAACATCGTTACTAAATTGCTTTTGAGGTAGGAGGACCATGAGTTTGGCTAAAGTGATCCTCCTGCCTCAGCTTTCCAGCAAGCTGAAATTTTAAGTGTGCATCTGCACATTCAGCTCTGGGGAAAAAAAAATAGTTGGGTGGTGGTGGCACACAACTTTAATCCCAACACTCAGGAGGCAGAGGCAGGTGGATCTCTGTGAGTATAAGGCCAGCCTGATCTACAGAGCAAGTTCCAGGGCAGCCAGGGCTACACAGAGAAACCCTGTCTCAAAAACACCCGCCTCCAAAAAGCCACATTGAATTTGCTTCCTTAGGAAGTAACAAATGCAGTTTATGTAGTAATATTAGCTTGCACCCATGCTACTTTTTTAAAAATTAATTTTTATTTTATATGTACTAGTGGGTGTTTGCCTGTTTGCATGTCTGTGTACCATGTGCATGCAGTGCTCTTGGAGGCCTGAAGAGGGCATCAGATCCTCTGGAACTGGCACTGCCATGTGGGTGCTGGGAATTCAGTCAGGCCCTCTGGAAGAAAAGCCAATGATTTTAAAAGCTGAGCCATCTCTCCAGCCCTATCATATCACTTTTTAATGGTTTTCCAAAGTAATTAAAATATGTTAAGTATGAAGTTTGTATTTCTGGTGGAATAGTACAAGGCTTATATTTAAAAACCATTTGAGGGCAAGATCCCTTTCTTACTAGAAGAAATATATAGAAAAGATTTTATCCTGGCTTAACAACTACTTTATATGCATCAGTTCATTAAGAATTGTACACTTAAGAGCTGGGTGTGGTGGCTCACACCTACAATCCTAGCACTTAAGAGACTGATAATATTTGAGGTTAGTCTGGGCTGTATTATGAGTTCCCAGCTAGCTGGGACTACATTATGAGACCCTGTCTCAAAAACAACCCCACCCATTCACACTACCTAGACTTTAGAAAGGAGGATGCAACTAAAAATTGGGCTTGGCATATCTTAGGTCCTAATAAGTGAATGACTCTAAGGCTTATAAAAGGAAATTTCAAATTAATTGCCCTCATTCCAGGAACTAGGCAGTCAGGCGAACTCACTGAGGTAGTCATTTTAATAGGACTACATTTCTTTTCTTTTTTCCCCCCGAGACAGGGTTTCTCTGTGAAACAGTCATGCCTGTCCTGGCACTCACTCTGTAGACCAGGCTGGCCTCAAACTCACAGAGATCTGCCTGCCTTTGCCTCCCAAGTGCTGGGATTAAAAGGCGTGTGCCACCACCGCCCAGCAATAGCACTATATTTCTAATTGGGTTGACCATTTCCAACCAAATAAGTGTCTCTGGAGAGGTAATGTAATCTGAATTTCTTTTTGCTGGTCCTGGGGATACACAACTCCTCGTTTTGTGCTAGAGGAAGTGGGGAAAACACCTCTCATCTCAATGTTAATGGGTTGGCGATCATCTATGCATGTTGTCGGCAGGTAGGGCACGCAATAAAAAGTAGCAATTATTATTACACATTTCCTATTATTAGATACATAGTAACCACTGATGACTCGTTCTTTCTGCAATGCTCTGGGATCTAGTTGTGTGAAAACACCCCTCGCAAACACAGTTAAGGCCTCGTCGAGACTGAGAGATCAATGGTTTTATGGGAGATCGAGGAGATTTAAGCAATTGGAATTTGCACCGGATTGAACCAGTGGAATTGGACGACGCAGTCCAAGGTTCATACGCCACACCGATCTGAGGGGGACGGACTCCGATGGCTTTTCACGTCCCTTTATTGGACCGCTCCCAGTCTCCCGTTCTCCCGGCACCATCAATCCAGGGCTCCCGAGGCTCCAGGAGCTCGAGGCCGGCCGGGGCAGGAACCTGGCTCCGCCCTTGCTCCCGAACTCCCGCGTGCACACTCACCCAGACCACAAGGCTATAAGGGAACCCCACTCAGCCGCCCCGCGGGTCCTAGACCAGAGACCAGAGCAAAGGCTGCTGGGAAGCCGACCCTTCACCTCTCCTCTGACTGCAGTTCACCTATTTTGACTCTAGCAAATGAATCGACGAAGACCGCGGGAGGGCGGGACTTGGCGGTGGCCAGCCCGCGCCGATTGGGTGGGGGCGGCGCTAGGGGCGGGCCGTGCGAAGGGTGGCGTCCCTACCCGAGTGGGCGGGAGCCGCGGGGGTCTGCGCTTGCGCGCCGGGCCGGCTACGCGTGCGCGGTGGGCGGAGCGCGCCTCTGCCTTCTTTACCAGCCCAGGCTTTTCCCGTCCCTGCACAGTGCCCGTGCGCTTGCCCGCGTTTCATCGCCCGGTCGCAGAGGGTCGCTGCCGCTGCGGAGTGGGCGTTCGGTTTTCGGGCCGTCATGGCTGGCTACGAATACGTGAGCCCGGAGCAGCTGGCCGGCTTTGACAAGT